CAACAGGTGCAGTAAGCAAGCATGACCCAAGATGGCGATTTCAGATAAACGACAATGTCCATCCATGCCACAAACAAGATTAATGTGTGCGACTGTGGTCATGGGCCATTTAAATTCACATTTCCCGAATGACACATTTGAAGACGGTGGGTGAGTGGATATGTGAGTGAACGATTTTTCAAAGCACTAAATCATAGACAAAGCAATTACACTAAAGTATTATACTATTTTTATTTTACCAGGTAAGGCCCACTGAGGGAAACAGATATTTTTCATAAGTGACCTGGCCACAAATGGTAGTTGAACGAAGTGGCTTATAACGTGGTAATTTATAACAGCCAAATAAAGCATGTTTATAAATGTGGAGGGGAAAACTGGAGGACCCGAAGAAAAATGCATACGGAGAACATGCAAACTCCAAATATACAAGCACCAGGGTCGGGATCGAACCCACGACTTCGTTTATACCAGGCAAGGTAGTTTACATCTCGCCACCAATTAGTGATAACAATTACAATTGAATTTCTAACGGTTCTTCTTTCATATGCCATATAAAATCGTGAATCTGTCTGTCTGTCTATCTGTGTGTCTGTGTGTCGCCGGACCATACGCACTTTCATTGGACGGCGGTTGCCCCTGGCAACGGGTAGCGACGCCTTCGCCGCTTTCATTGGACGGTGGTTGCCCCTGGCAACGCCTAGCGACGCCTTCGCCGCGGGGTGAACGCCATTTTTTATTCCCGTTAAAAATAGGCGCACGCATTAACACGCGACTCTGACGTAAATTCATCACAGTTTCACGTCCTCTTCACTCCCCTCCCACCCCAATGTGTTCAATTACTATTATAGGCTCCGTAGATAATAAAATAATAGCGATTAGACAGTATTATTGTAGCGCGGGGGGGGGGGGGGGGGGACGCCACCCGTACCCTGCCTCTGCCGGGTGGGCAATTTAGGCGAGGCCGGAGGCTCTGCACGCTACTAGGCCTCGACACCCACCACGCGACTCTGAGGTAAATTCATCAAAGTTTCACGTACTCTTCACTCCCCCCCCACCACAATGTGTGCAATTAATATTACTTTTACACCCAACACGCCAAGAATCTATTCTTTTAATGCTGACTGTACAAATAGTCATTAAGCTGGGTGAGCGTACTGCCAGTTTATAATGTAGACTGTAGCCTGCTTATTAAGCTCGGTGAGCGTACTGCCACTCTATCATGTAGACTCTAGCCTGCTTATGAAGCTGAGTGGGTGTACTGGCAGTCTATCATGTAGACTGTAGCCTGTTTATTATAATCGATTCTTTAAATGTTCTTTGTACAAATAGTCATTAAGCTGGTTGAGCGTACTGGCCGTCTATAATGTAGACTGTAGCCTGCTTATTCAGCTGGGTGGGTGTACTGCCAGTCTATCATGTACACTGTAGTCTGGTTATGAAGTAAAGTTAGTCAATTTGTAACACGTACGCTTTCGCAAACATTATTCATAAACAACGTTCGGACCTGGCCCTCCCCTAGGTCAACTCAGCCTCAAACGAGTAACTGCTGTCGTGTGTGAACATCGTCACTGGGGAGACAAAGGCGGCCGGGCGTGGTGAATCCAAGTACCCGGGCGAAGCCGGGTAGTAAAGCTAGTATGCCATATAAAAGAACACAGGTTCAGATGACGTGGATTGTTTTGATCCAATATGGAACGCAGGGCCAACTGGTATCTCGAACAAGCAGGACCCGACGTGATTAGTATTGCCTGCCCCGCAATAAAGGCAGATTATTTGCTTTGTACAAGTGGATCGGGTATTCGTTCCAGCTGTCTTTACAGTTAATTTACATTGCACATGTAATACTGTATGGAATTCATGGAACATCCAGCTGCGCTTTCAACATAGTTTTATACAATTTGAAAAATGTGTTCACTTAGTAACATAATCGAACCTCTGCGAATTTAATTGAATCATTAAGGTAACATATTTTAAGCAGATTATATTGGTGTCTGTATATTATAAATGTTGTGCATTTGAGTAGCACATTCTTTTTTAATGTAAAGCTCTTTGAGACGTATATATTGATGTGAAGTTTGTGATTTCTATAAATATTGATTTAATTAAAGTGATGTTTTTCCAATTGAAATGTTGTCTTTCAATTGTCAAATATACGTTTTTATATATTTACATATACACTAACGTTACAATTGTCATTAGCCATATAAACCACCTATCACTGTGCTGTATACGCATCAGTTAAATAATAATACGAATCTTGATTTGCAGCTTTCGTGACTGCAAGGATCCATACTCTTTGGTTCTTTCGGTAAAGTCACGTAGGTAGAAAAATAAAATAAATCACGACGTTTGGGCTACACCCATTTCAAACCTTTTAAAACAGTCTGCCTCAACAGCAGACCATGGTTTTCCCACCTGATGACGGACGCTTGTGTTGTGCCCGAAACGTCGTGATTTATTTTATTTTATACCTACGTGACTTTACCGAAAGAACCAAAGAGTAATAATAAGAAGTTATGGAATTATAGTAATCAGTTATGCATCATTTTAACGCGTATCCCACAAGGTTTGCTTTAACAATACAGGAAAACAAAGTTCATCTTATACGAATCCGGCACTGCTAATCTACTCGAGGGTAAGTTCTGCAATGAGCATGGTGAGCAACATATGCATATATAAATTAATCTAAAGTCTGAAGGTCGTAGATCATTACATACAGTGAATCGCCAACGGGAGGAACCGTCCATTCTGTTGTTTTTTTACTCTGCTTTATATTTGCCGAGTTATTGTACTTTGTGGAAACGTTATTGTACGTTGTGTATATGTTATTGTACTATTTGTGTATGTGTTTTTGTACTATTTGTGTATATGTTATTGTACTATTATTGTATACGTTATTGTACTATTTGTGTATATGGTATTGTACTATGTGTATATGGTATTGCACTTTGTGTATATGTTATTATACTATGTGTAAATGTTATTGTACTATTTGTGTAAAAGTTATTGTACTATTTGTGTAAATGTTATTGTACTATTTGTGTAAATGTTATTGTACTATTTGTGTAAATGTTATTGTACTATTTGTGTAAATGTTATTGTACTATTTGTGTAAATGTTATTGCTTTTGTCATTTTGGTGACCCAGGCAACTCGTGAAAATGAGATTTTTGATTTCCTCACCTGGTTAAACAACATAGACTTGAAACTCAGTTTTTATTTTAAGTCAGCTCACTAATGAGTCAGTCTTACCAGCTTTGCTTAAAAGACATACACATACAATGTTTGGGTGTTTTTATGTTTCAATTTAACAATAAGGAGTGGGAGTGTAGCAGCTAGCATGCTGCGGCATGAACCTGACCACCCCGGTTCGATTCCTGCTCACGGCCAACACCAATGACGATTATCTGAACCGGTTGTGGGCCTCCCTTAGGTCGACTCAGCCTCAAATGAGTACCTGGTGCGATGTGTAACATCTCCACTGGGGAGACAAAGGCGGCCGGGCGTGGTGTTGGCCACCCACCCCCTTCGTGTGCCGTGCCGGCAATCGGTGCTAGCTAACGGAAAATGGCTCGCACAAACAAAATCAAATTAGCGCTTATCACCATAAATGTATATATTGTTTTTAAGTCGGCTCTAAATACGCACACCATTGGCAACAAAACGTGGAATGATATTGCCCCCTGCTGTTAACATTCAGCAGTTTCACAATAACTATGCCCCTGCGCAATACAGAACACACATTGGACTGCATGAAGTACATAACACATTCCTGCGGAGGGAGCTGGTAGGAACGTTGGGTTGCTCGATCAATGGCCTGCAGGGTCAACGGCGGCGTGGTGTATTCCGCAAATATGGCCGACTGTGAGGGCGGGCACAAGCCGGCGTGAGTAGGTTAAACGTTGAGTTTTATAAGGGCACCACGGGGTGACCAGCCCCTCCCCACCCAGCCCCTTCCCACCCTCCCCACCCAGCCCCACGCCTCCCATTTTTGGATGCACGACGGACGGACGGACACAATAATCCCCTGTGGGCTGGTGTAACCAGGTGGTTCCTACCAGTATAAAGCACGGGATAGTAGTGTAGTAATCATCTTTGTAGTTAGCGCACTGCACTGTGAACCCCAGCTTCCCGAGTTTGATTCCTGGCTATGGATAACGTCTGTGGCGAATGATGTCCCACCCGGTCCTGGGAACCCCCCCCCCCAAACCATTCATCATCCCACGTACCAGCGTGAAGTATAGTCAAATAACACCCATTATCGGAACGGTACGAGAAGCCCTTCTTCCAACGGTGGGTTGACAAGTCGCTGGAGATACATCATATAATATAACCACAATAAGGTGGGTCAGGCAATATCAACCATGGTCAATCCACTGCTGGATGACGCCCCGCCCCCCCCCCCAAAGCCACATCGTATCTCTCACAATCCAGCGACGGAACATTCCACTGGATCTTATTTCATCGATCCAAACTATTGGTTGCGGGGGGCGAAAACCAATCTTACGTTCCATTCCTTGGCATTCACTCCGGAATCATTCTCGACCATCGTCCATCAACACCGTTCAGCGACGGAGTCCCTGCCCAAGCAACACCACCACCGATACTTTTCGCGAGTTTTAATATCATAAACCCGCGCTCTCATCCGCGTTCCTCTCTTTGTCTCTGAATGTAATTCCCAAGTGTGCTGCATATTTCCATGTTTTTGCGCTGTTTTGTTAAGAAAATGTTTTTTCTACGAATGATCATGTGTCATTAGCAGGAGACAATTTCTAATCAGTGTGCACGACCGACTTGCTTACCTGTCGTGACTGCGGGTGATTTACCGGAGCAGTAGGGTGCAGAATGTCTATTGATAACCTTTTTTTTTAATTCAGCTTTATTGGGGGTAAGTTGAATCGAGGATCCAATGCGGAAAGACTATACATGTACGCACTATTGCACATTAAACACTTGGCACCCACACATTACAGGCTGGATTGAAGACTTCAGAGATTTCAGAAGGGGGGCGTGGGGGGGGGGGTCCACACGGAATAACTGATCAGTAAAAGTAAGCTGCGGTACACGTTGAACTTGAACGCCGAACATGCCTAATACGACGACACCAAAACATTAAGGCAAATAAAGACCAATGCTAGGTCACAGTAAAAATACAATACATTTGGCTCATTTTTAATAAACATACATACACACATATACTAATGTCTAAATATTATTACTGTTTTTTTTTACAATCAGTAGGCAAACAAAACATAAAACCGTTGTAATTGTTTTATACTTTTAAATAAATAAGCAGACTTTTCACCGATACTGCATTTGGCTCTTTTATAACTTCTAACGTACTTATAACATTACTCGTTTTCTGAAATTCAATATATGTCTTAATTACAATATTTTGCTTTCTGTATATTCAAACATATATGCTCAATGACACTGTTTTCTGAGAATGCACTTTATAAGCTTCATGTGATATTGCCTCCTACATAACCCATCTCTCTGGCAACCGTTCAGGACACTAATTAGCAAGCAGGTAACAATGCAACTCTCTGCGATTCGATGAATTGTCATTATTATTCATCATCGCAGTTCGATTTAAGGACCGATTATTATTTTCTCCTTTTTGACATCTCTATTGTATTGTTTCACATTTCATGATCTCATTCATAAGTTACCTTTTGTCCTCGATGTAACATTAGCATATCGTTTGCATATCACGTCCATAAATTGTACATTCTTTTTTACAGTCCGATGGGTATATCGTGGGTCGGGTTGCCGCCCGTCCTGATTTTTCGAGGATCGTATTCTCATCGAGGTAGCGATCTTGGGAAATCTGTAAGTCTTCCCAGGCCATTTAAATCCCACGCATTTGTCAGTTGTGTAATGATCCACCTCTCCAGACAATGCATTTGCATGGAGCAATCCCCCTTGTGGTATTGCGAGATCGTCCTCTTCCCATGGTTGTCCTGGTGTTTTGTACCTCAGAGGTTGCAACCCCGAATTGTGAGCATAAGACTCTATTTTCGTCCAAGGGCCAGAGCTGATATCGGTACCACTCATGGCAGGAAAACTTTAGTAGTGCCAATTCTTTAATATGACTCAAAGGAGTGGGTTATTTGTTCACCCAGTAATTTCAAGTGGTTATCATATCGATTAACTATTATTGGCCACATCAAGACATTGAAACCACTAAAGTACCACCAAGTGAAACATCATATAGTATTTCAAACCCGGTTTTGAACCGGGTGACCTTTTGCGTGTTCGTGGAAAGGAATGACCGCGACGAATAACCATTACAAGGCAGTGAAATAACTGGTCGGGGCACATGGACTCATTTAATCGATACCATCGTTACATCACCGACCAGTTAATCAGTGGACTAGCGAGTGGGCAGCGAATACAACCACAAGTAAATTTGCCTCCGAGCGTTCTCTTTCCACCCTGAACAGTTCAGTTTCAGGGTTTAACCAAGCCAAGAGGTTATAATACCTGCTAACAGTGGGTCCGAGCGAAATACTAACACGAATCTGGTCTGCACAAAACACGTCACCTTTGCCAGTGAGCCACATGTGGTGGTCTGTGTATATATATATATTTACTTTCTTCTGGGATCATTAAACTCGGAGCCAGTCGTAAAAATCCAGACAAAGTGATCCAGCGTGCGTTTTTTTCTACGTTGGACATGACAGGTGTTGCCAATTGAGGCAATTGCAAGGAACTAAGAGTGCTGTTTTCAGCTCAATTCAATCGGCTGTTCCTGGCACAATCAAACTTTGGGAAAGCCAGCCGTTCGATAATTCCATATTAAATACGGCCATCTGGATGTCATGCCTGGAAGCCTTGCACTGCTGCGAATTACTGCTTGAGTCTATTACACGGGGAGTGGCTCAACCCCACATCTCATGGACAAAGCAGTCCCATCTTTGCACGTGGACGATCACGTGCACACCTTTCCTCAATCCATTGCTGGATAAGGGCCTCCCCACGCCACCATGTGATCGGGTCGTGGTAAAGTATGGTCACATATCTCCCATGCAGGTCAGTACATATTGGTGAAGAGGTGGGAGGGGGGGCAAGATCGGTTCAGATACCACTCGGTACTGGGAATTTAACTTAGGTTGCCGGGTTCATAGTGCAGTGCTCTGGTCAGGACGAATTAAGGCAGGAAGGATATACGTAGGAGCAGAGTAGAGCACAACAGTGGAGTTGGCTGCACTGCCCTCTGCTGACTGCAACATCACCCCACAGCAGCCTATAACGCCTGTGCGATGGAACAGGAACTAGCATCGACTATTAATCTGGGTGACGGTCATATTATATATTTGTTGATTTCCTGGCTTAAGAAAACGAACCGTGATTGGCCCCCAAAGTTTGCAATTTGTCCATCCCTGATATGAGCAACGCACATCACTTTAGGTCGAGTTTGGCAGTTGTATTAAGAGTTTACGAGGTTAAGTCTGTAATGGCAGGAGTATCTGAGTCACTGAGGTTAGATATGCTTTATGCACATATGCATTGTTTTTTGTATATAATGGTATGCATGTATGTATGTATCGCCTTGCGCGCAACATGTGCTGACATCACAAGCCAAAAAAAGACATCAGCACACACCAGTAAGAAAACATCTTTCTGGTCTCATTAGACTCCAAAATGAGATTCAGCTTAACCTGACAGCAAGCCGATGTGAGGTTCTAATTAAACTGGTAAAAGCACATCTTTGACTTTGTACGATTATAAATTTTACACATTCCAACTCGGCTGAAATGCTTTACAAACACCAATTAAATCTGTGCCCACCAGATCTCTCACCTATTATACCAAGCTATTTAAAAAGCTATAAATACTGCACAGCTGACGCGAGTGACGAAATCTCACAATTATAAATTCACTCTAGAGTAATGATTTTAGACATTTCTTTTGGTGGCATGTGAGTCACAAGCCACCCCCCCCCCTCTACCCACCCCTTGCCACCAAATCATTTAAAACACAGTTACCATGATAAGGGCAAGGGTTTGGGGAAGGGACACAGATCATCATTCTGAGCAGTCAGGGGAAGGTGAATCTCAGTATTGTTACAAGATGGGGTGTTTTTTTTTAATTAGGGTTGCCGCCATACCCTCACACTACGATGCATCGTACACGATACATGAGCCACGAGAGGGGCGTCGTCCGTTTTGTAAAATATCGTGATTATCGTTGCTCATGTGACTTAAAAAAAAAGATTTAATGGCCTGACAAGCACACATTTATGAAATAACAAGCACTGTAATTGAATTTCATCTAAATAAAATAGCTATTACCAATTCAGCATCAGAATCTTTATTTAGACTGGAGGAATCAATCTAAACGAAATTAGTGCTTTGCAAAATAATTTTCCGGTAGAAACTGACGACTCGGCGGTTACGAATTAACTTTTACGTACTCTTTATTCCTGCCGGAAGTGCAGCGAAGAAGAAAAGCAAGACAAGGTTCAACGCCGAGTACAATTACAAAGTTACGGGAAACTGATATCGCGACGACCGTCGTCGTGTCGCTGAAATTGATACCGTCTCGTGAAAAAGTGATATCGCGGCAACCCCTAGCGTTCTCATTTTCCCGCTGGCATATCTCTGTGCACCCCCTGGAGGCTTCTCAACAGCCGCAGGCCTGGGAGGACTGCGGAAGGCTGTCTGTGAGGCGCGTGCCCTGCTTGCTTCCGGCGGCGCCAGCCCCCGCGGCGGCGCCGTCTCCGTCCAGACTCTCGGACATCTTCTCGCAGATCACGTCCACCAGCCGCTCGAACGTCTGCTTCACGTTGATGTTGTCCTTGGCGCTCGTCTCGAAAAACTCGAACCCTGCGTCATCACGGGGCACGTTTGAAGCAGTGTTAATTCATCCAGAAATGTTTTTTTTCTTCATCAGTCTCGTCCAGTGGTTCCCAACCTCTTCGGACCCGCACGGACCACTGTGAACCTTTCAAGGATCGTTTTTTTGAGGACCACCATACAACAGCAACAACATTTTTTTCCAAGTTAAAATAACTCTAAAAGTACTGTAAATGCCCGATTAAAAAGCGAAAAAAACAATGAGTCATGAATGCAATCTCGCAGTAAAAAAAAAGTGTTTTTGTGACAAAAATATAGTATTTACACTATGAGATCTCTTTTACCAGTGGCAAAATATAGTAGCAGGTTTTTACCCTTTTAAACTGGTACAAAACTGACACCTTTATTCAAGGCATCAATGTTTGCAATAACCACAACACAAGTAGTCAAAAAAGCAAACAAAAAGAAGCAACTCTGATAATGATAATAAGGACAGTGCATATTATTATCATTATCAGAGTTGCTTCTTTTTGTTTGCTTTTTTGACTACTTGTGTTGTGGTTATTGCAAACATGATGCCTTGAATAAAGGTGTCAGTTTTGTACCAGTTTAAAAGGGTAAAAACCTACTACTAAAAATATAGTAGTACTCTATCAGTAACGGTCCTGCCGACCACTTCCCTGGATCAGGCGGCCAGCCAGGGATATTTGGCCCACAGCTTGGGAACCACTAATTTATTCGAGGACAGCCTGTGAGAATTTTGACCAAGTCTCCGTCTGTGGATTCCATCTAGTTGACTTAAAGCGGTTAAGCATTCAGTCCACCCTTCATTATTAAATGTCTGTGTGAGGGGTATGCGATGTCACTACCACCTCCCCCACAATATTACTTGGTCAGCCACTCGGTGAACTCAGAAAAATATATTTTATACACACTAGTAGAGGACCCCGTTGCATTAGAAAATAAGAGACAGCTGTCAATATCATAATCCTCTCACAATCCTGTACTCAGAGCACTGCAAGTGATCAGTAATGGCATAAGATGCAATATAATGTCGTAAAATGCCAACATAACTTGTATTTTTTTTATTTAAAGCTTTCGTGACTGCAGGGATTCATATTCTTGGTTCTTTCGGTAAAACAATGATATTTTTATTATTTTATTATTTCCCTTCTACGTGACTTTACCGAAAGAACCAAGAATATAACTTGTATTGTGATGTTCATTCAAATTCTCTGAGATTTGCAGAATATTCTAGTTAAATAATTACATTAATAGGAGACCAAATTGAAACGTGAGAGTGATTTAAAATTAGCCACGTCAGTCTTGTGTATTCGTTGCTCCCACCTTTTCTGTGTCACTATCTATTTGTATTATTAGAGTATTATTATCACAGTATTATTATTATTACATCTTCCGAATTTCTTCTGCTCTTCAAATTCAACGTTTATTTGTTACACGGAAAATCCCGTGTAGCCAGTTACCCAGCTAGTTCTGGTGGCAACAGCTCACAGCCACGAACAACAACAAAGTTATTTGTTGGGGTGGAGAGGAGTCCAGCCAGCAGCCAGCCAGGATTATTTTTATGATAATAGGGTTTTTCCCCTTTTTTCTGGCAACAAAACTGAAACCTTTTTACAAGGATTCATGTCTGCATTAACCACAATACTTGCAGTTAAAATGCTAACAAAAAACATACTATTATAATATATGCATTGTCCTTGAAACTGATTGGTAAAGAAAGCCATCCCTTGGTGTGGACCAATCAGTTTTCAAGGACAATGCATATATTATCACAGCATGTGATAATATATTTTAACTGCAAGTATTGTGGTTAATGCAGACATGAATCCTTGTAAAAAGGTTTCAGTTTTGTTGCCATAAAAAAGGGGAAAAACCCTATTATTATATTTTGGTACTGGCAAAAGAGGTCTAATTATGTAGATTATTTTTAATTGTAGTATGATAGAGCCAATTGCCATCTTAGGTGTATTACTGTCACTAATAATGTTACTAAATTATCTTACCCCACATTTGCATTCAGTCAGTCATGCTTTGGACTTTGGTTGTAGTCTGTCATCGTGCTCGATAATTTTTTGTCCACTAAGTCATTGTTGCCGAAAACATGAAAAAACCTCTTCATTTATGAATATTTTCATCATAGTTTGCATCTTTTAAAAAGAAATACCACTCGTTTGAATGTCAAAATAAATAATAAAAATCCCAAAAGGAATAACAAAAAAACCTACGAATTGAACTTCATCTATTACTCTTTAAGGCAAGAGTAAATATGAGGGATCAAATTGTGCATTCAATCAATATATACTGTCTTTTATAAGCACACAACCGTTTTCCAAGAAGTGAAAATACAAACGAATGATTACATTTTATTCTTGGAAGAAATTACATTTATCCTAAACCCAAAAATTATTTTCTGAAATGCTTACTGCAGCCGAAAATAAGTAAACTATTGTATTTAACCACGAAAACTACTGGAAGCTGCGAAAATTTTAGAAGATGTTACAAGAGCTCACAACAGACAATTTTCTCACATAATACGCACAAAATATCCACTTATTCTTCCTACACCATCTGCGCTCAGTCCACATGGGGCACCTGAATTTCTGGCTAAATCTGGAACAGGGCACAGCTGGTGGTGGGGGAACTGTTGGACAGTTACCATGGGCTTCCGAATTTTTTTCCACAACAAAGAGCAGGTGAGCTGTTCGCCAGCCTTCTCGGCGAACGCGCGCATTTTTCGCAGACTGATCGCGTGCGTGTACGTATGCACGCTGGACTTCTTTCGGACTGTACGTAGCCAACCGTGCTAATTGGCGGCGCGTGAGAAGAACAACAAACTAATCACAAAAATCAGTTTTAAAGAAATGAGTTTTCAATCTAGATTTAAAAGTGCATAACTCCAGTGACTTCAAAATATCAGACGAGCATCCCAAAGGGCCCGCAGAAACACATCTGAAAGTGCGAGATGCGGTAACCGTCTTTGTTCGATGGCTAACCAAAAAGCCGCCGCTGCAAGGATGACCGGAGTTCGCGTCATGGTCAATGCTCCTTGACGAGATCAACAAAGTAGTGTGGTTCATGTGTGGCGAGCGCTTGTGCGAGAGGGGGCCACCGTGAGCAACGGCGAGAGCGTGTACGCACCCAGCTGCTCTGCGAGCTGTCGGCCCTGCTCGGTGGGAACCATGCGGTCGTCCTCCATGTCGCACTTGTTCCCCACGAGCACGACCTGGGCGTTGTCCCACGAGTAAGTCTTGATCTGCGTGGACCTGGGATTAAGGGGGAAGGGGGGCAACCAGATATCTCAGGAGTCATCCCCACTCCGCAATTCTGCTTAATATTATTGTCATCGTCATCACAATTTCAACTTGTAACGCGGCGCCCGCCGCACAATATTTTCGCTCTCTCTCAAAGAGAGACAACGACTCGGAGGAGTGATGAACCACAGACGAGCGGGAAAGCGAGCCACGCCACCATGAGTCGGCGCCAAATTACCCCCCCCACCCCCAAGCTCTGCGGTAATCTTTAAATTAAGGGTGTCATCGGGCATTTCATGGGCGTTTACATGTGGAAGGAAACCACGGTACCGCGAGAAAATCTGCACGTGCGCGGGGGCAATAGGTTTTAAGACCTGAGACCTGTTCTTCACCTGAGGACGGCTGCTTGCGTTGTGGCCGAAACATCGTGAGAATTATTTTATTATGTTGTATTTTTATTATTTTATTATGTCCCTTCTACGTGACTTTACCAAAAGAACCAAGAAGATGAATCCCTGCAGTCACGAAAGTTTTAAATCGAAAAATTAAGGGTGTCATCGGCCATTTCATGGGCGTTTACATGTGGAAGGAAACCACAGTACCGCGAGAAAATCTGCGCGTGCGCGGGGGCAATAGTCTAACCCATAGATGGAACAGGGAAAGTATTTTTCCCTGCCACCTTCTCCTTGCAATCCAGGGAATATTAAGGATGAGGAGTTGCATTTATTTGGTGCTCGAGTGCCTCGATGCTACCACGTTGTAATTTGTTAGCAACCCACACTCGCAATCCAGAAGTCGCCAGTTCGATTCCATTTCCCGGTTCAACAGTTGACACAATGGTGAAAGTTTCTTAAATCTCCCGCACCGCCACTATCCACCCAGCAGTATTAATGGGTACACGACAGTTAATTAGTATGTCACACGCAGGTGGGGCGAAGTGTAGGCACTCATACCTTTTCCAAGGTCTCTGCCAGTGTGGAAGAGTAGGCGGAAAACATTTTCTAGTGCTAACAAGCAATTGCACGGCTAAGCATTTAACTCAACCATTCCAATATGTTGCTGTAGTGTGCTTAGCAAAGGTGACCCCCCATGGCAGCTGTCTCTGTGCGAGTGTGTGGCTTAAAGTGAAAGTATCACCAGCCTACAAAAATGGCATTAATCTGTCCATAGGGAAGGACATGTTTGCTATGTGGCTTTTTCTCAACTTAATAATTTTCAAGTGATTGATCAAATTTGGAAAATTTGGACCACAACACAGGCACAAAAGGCTTAGTATTTTCCGCTTAATGTCACTCACTGGATTTTTAACATTGCCACAATACACGTATAGCATCATGCATGCAGGGAGGACACCAAGGTGTCAATTTTTTTGTCCTTTTTACCCGAATTTCATCCCGATTCCGCGATCGGTACCAATGGTACTAAACAAATAATCCATTGGGAATTCTTGCAGAGTATAGAAACTATTTAAGTTGGCGAATGCCCCCTGGAAGCGGATATCACAAACTACTTCTAAGATTCCATCAAGTAACCTCTGGTCTACACAGCAGGGGCAGAAATTTCCCATCTCACCTTGCTACTGAGGGTAGTGTTCATCAGGGTAGTGTTCATCACTACCCTCTGTCAGAGTTGGAAGGTAGTCAAATTAAGTGCAGAAACAAATTTAAAGTTAAGGTGTATTGTGCAGCGATTGGCGACTGAGCGGAGACCATCAGCGATGGCCCAACACATATTTCAAAACTACCCCAAACCTAACTATGAAGTAAAATCTATTGCTACGCATGTATCCCTTGAACATATTGCAAGTGGACCAATCTCCATCTGTTTTCATCTGTACAGGGATTGAGTGTTGCTTCCGAGCACATGTGGGTTTTCTCCAGGTGCTCCGGTTTTCTCCCACGTGTACAAACACTCAAACTGCGCGCGTGCCCGCATGTGCGTATGTATCTTGAACTTTGTTTGCACCGTGCGTAGCCAACTGTGCTAATCGGAGGTGCAAGGGAAGGACAACAAACTAAACACAAAAAAATCTATTTTAAAGAAATTAGTTTTCAATTTAGACTTAAAAGTGCATAGATCTAGTGGCTTACTCATGTCGGGAGAACATTCCAGACGGCCACAGAAGCGTTCCATGGCGAGCCAAAAGTGGGAACACATCTTTAATTTGAAAGCCAATGCATGACCCTCCTGAAAAAAAAGAGTCCATATACTCAGCGTGGCTTTCCTTAATAAATAGATCATTATTATTCGGGGCTCAGTTTTGCCACAAGCAACGCCAGCTGAAAATTGCCACCGATGGTACTCACCAGTCACTGACGGCATTGAAGGAGTCCTCATTGGTGATGTCGTACATGAGGATGAACCCCATGGCACCACGGTAATATGCCGTGGTGATGGTGCGGTACCGTTCCTGTCCAGCTGTGTCCTACACACACACAAACACACGGAGACAATAGGAAAAGACACCCACCACCCCCTCACCAATACCGAGTCGTATGGACCACATGTGCAAAAGCTGTGAAGCTAGCGAGTATCTACTTCGGCCAGTACAGGGCACGCAGTTATGGTTGCGCGGGGGGGGGGGGGGGGGGGGCGGTGACCAGCGCCTTTGCCGGACACCTCACACCGAATGAATAATAATTTAAGTACGAGTCAACCTACTGGAGGTGCTACACAGGTTTAAATGGCACTTGCCACTGGTGCTCATGAATGGGAACAGTACAAAGGTCACTGAGATCGCGGGGCTAATCACCGCATCCGCTACTTTATCCTCTCTCACCTACCACCCACACGCAGATTAAAAAGCATCTCATCCCAATTAACCTAAAGGGGGAAAAAATGCCTTCTCCGAGCGAGGATCTTTACCGAGGCTCTCTCATTGCACAGGAAAATGCAGTGAGCCAGTACCATTGGCAGGTGCATTTCTTTCCGTGGGCGAGTGTACACACACGCACACACACCGCAAGAGTTGCTCATTTGTCGTGCGAGTTGACCTAATGGACACCCAGGCCAACTTCAAACACCGAATGCATCATTGTACGGGGTCAGAAATTGAAGGCGAGAGTGAAAGCTCAACCACCGACACGTGAAGGGCTTTTCTCTCTGATACAAGTGTGGTGCAAACTGTGTTCTGGCCGAGGAAAAAAGAATATAAGTGCATCTGTCACTGTTTTATTTGCGATAAAAATACACCAGAGCTTCAGAGAATGACCCCGAGGGAGAAAGAGGAGGTCACACAGCCACTTTTAATTCCATCCTCGTCTCGATCGTGAAAATGCTGTGTCATAACGTTTATTTTCCTCTTTATACATTAACTAGCAATGACATTTTACTACCGTGATAATTTGATATGTTCTGCATCTTTATAAACGCGCATTTATGAATAGGATGTGTTTTCCACACCAAAAATATGATAGTAACATTTTATGCAGAGGACAAAGATAATAAGGAAATATCAAATTGAATTAATATATTTTATCTCTTGCAAAGTCATTCCAATTTATAATTTTGTCAAGCATTAAATTGGTTTACCATTTGCCTATTTACTGATCAAGGAAAACACAGGAATATGACAACATGCTTACTAGGTCTTCCATATGGCTTAAAAAAATGGCTAAACAATCAGCATAGGTCACACATAACATACCATCTCACGTTTAGGCAGCGTTTTGTAACACATGCACAGGATTTTAAAATTTGATTGCAAATAGCCATCACATGAAGGTGTCCTGCGGCCAAATTGGAACCTTCACCATGGAGATGGAGCACTAAAATTAGCTCGTGCGCGAGAGGTTCTGGACGAATCGCAACATTGCCTCACCGCGAGTGATTGCGATGACTCGGGGTGACATTCATCCACCAGTGGATTGATCGCGGCTGATAACAACAATTATGAAAGTAAAGTACTTCCAAAACTCAACGAACCGTGCACAGGAGAATATATGGGGCACTAAAGCGGTGGCAATAAAAGGTTAACATCGTCATACTGGAACATCTGTCCTGCTGCCTCGCAGATTTTTTTCAATGGGATGTGCATAGTTTAATAATGCAAGCTCAATTTTTCCAGTTGCGTGGGCTCTACCCTGGAAAATGACACACCACGCAGGTACACTGGCTGTGCATTCAGAATGCGCAGGGCTTAAACACTGGTGTAGGCAGTCTGCTGAGATGAAACAGAGGTAAGCGGGTGAAGTGGCATGCGACCGAAGGGAAGATTTTGAACGGGTGATCGGGCCAGTGTTCATGTACGGTTCGGAGTGATGAACACGAAACAAACAGGTTGGCGGAGAGGAGGACGCAGAGATGGATTTGTCGAGGAGGAGTAAGCACAAAAGATCGTGTGAGAAACAATCAAGTGTTACGAGGAGCTAAGGTGGCAGCATCGATGGAGAAGGAAGAAGTTGAGCGAATATAGAACGAGATGGTTTCGACCAACGGCCAGAAGGTCAGAAGCTTGTTGAAAAGAAAGAGTGGGAGGGAAGGGGGAGAGTGAAAAGGATGTGGCGAAACGTTGTCAACAAGGACATGAGAGCACGCGGTGTTGCTGTGGAGATGGCTATGGATCAAAGAGTGGAGAGAGAAAGGGATCGGAAAGCAGACCCCACTAACACCGATTTTCAACCGGACAACCGCGCCATGCCAGGGACACGCCAGAGCTAGTTTGGACTGGCTTGTTTTTTTCCCCACTGCAGAAGCACAAGCCACGCTTACTGACATCACACGCAATGAACGAGTTTAGACACGTGTAGATGAGGCGGTGAGTCGGCGATGCCGTGTTTGAGTTTTAGTGACTGACGTTGCAAGCAAGGAACGTGCTCTTATCCCCAGCCCCGGTCCTGGCTGGTACCCCCCGTCCCGCCGTACCTACCCACCCCGAGTAAGATTCAAATGTCCTGTGGGGCCATCGTGTCAGTTTGGTACGGTTTGGTGCCGGCTCGGCTCAAAAATAGCCAGCGGAAAACCACCCGTGTACTGTAAGACCCACATGTTGGCTCAGCACAGGTGCGGTAGTGGAAAAGGGGTATTAATGGCCAAACGATTATAGGACCAAGAAGCGTGCTGAGCGTACGACCGCAGGCAGCTAACAACGGGGGTGTTTGAGGATGTGAGAGCAAAATGGAATGCAGATAGAGGCAGAAATCCATACTTCGAGACCTGACAATCCACGAAAATGACGAACGATCGAGTCTCCGTGTGAAATCACTCAGCCTCCCTCCAGGGATTAATTCCAGGAAGATGTCAGGTGAAAATTCACGAGCGTCAAATCGTAAGAGTGTAAAGTGTGCCTACTTGAGCCTCTGCTGTCACTTAGACAATCAAAAGAAGAGACAGAGAGTGTCTGTTCAATTTGTTCGTAAGGATATTAAAGCTAAAGAAGAGATCCGCCTGAGTGTTTGGTTTATATTGTCAAAAAAGAACACCGTGTATTTGTACAAAATAAACTCAAAATAACCAAGGGTGCACTAAAACATTGTCAATTTAGAATGTAGCAGATGTCTGCTGGACACACAAAGCTGAGCAGTGAAGTGTAAATTTCATCTATAATTAACATTCAGTGTCATAAGCCTTTTAAAATTGAAGCTAAAAACAGACACTGCTGCCCATGGTAAGCGTGATTGTATTAATATGCGCATGATTTGCCCGCTTGATCCTCGCGTAAAAGTGCAGTTGGAATACTTGCTCATGCCACTTCTGGAACACTGGAGGGAGCTCCCGTGAGCCCCTCAAAAGGGTATTTGGCCTACTCTTCCATGCTGGACAAATATTTTTGAAAAGGTGGGAGTATGCACACTTTTTACTCCACCCGTATGCAATCTGCCGATCGACTAACTGTGGTGAAACCATTTATACTGCTGGGTGGACAGAGGCAGTGGGGGTTTAAGAGACACTCCAATTATTTCAACCGCTGTGCCGCAAAATCAAACCGACGACCTCTGGATTGCAAGTCCAGTGTGCTAACCATCACACCGTGGCAGCAGCATTTCCAGTAGAGAGTAGCAGCATCACCAGGACTCAATGACAGCCTCCCCAATGCCAAGCCTTACTTTCATTCATGTTCACATTACCTTCCTGAGCGGTCCTCTGAATTGCCTTCATTTAAATAGACCCTTAAATGGCATACTTACCAAGGTCATCATCACGACAAAGACACTTTTTGACACAAATGAATTGCAACTCTATAACTGCTATGGTACAGAAAATGCACATACTTCACCTTGGCAGCTAAGTATGGCTAACAGCCCAATTGTATGGACAGCTGTCTCACTGCTAGTGAACTGAGAAGGATTGCAGGTGGGTAATTATTTTTTTCAAAATAAATTAAATCAGGGAATGGTGTGTTCATTTAATTTGTTGAACGGCATTAGAATAAGAATTGTGTTCATAATTTACATCCCAATTTCAATCAATTGCTGGATGAAGCGCTTCCCATGCCGTATACATCATGGGCAGTATTGGACTATACTTCACCACGCTGGTCAGCATGTGTTCGTGAAATGGGAAGCCCCAGGACCAGTGCAGACGTCACATTCAGGTTTCCGGGTTCATTGTGCAGTGTGACAAAAACTCCGCCATGGATCTCCAAACATGGAATGTAAGAATACATTCTGTTTTTGTCACCATGCGTACTAGTATACAAAGTACGAAATTGATCATTTTACAGGCCGAGATGGAGTTGAAGTCAAAGTGAAATTGTGCTTCTTTAAATCTATTCTATTCACGTTCACATTTTTAGTCCATTGAAGTCTGTTATGCAGGTGACGTGCACATGTTCCCATACGTGCGCCTTAATCCACTAAAGAGCGCTTTATAAAACCACATTACGCTGCTCTGCGTCAGCCAAAGGTTCCGACAGAGAGGGCCTGCACCCAATTGATTGATCGCAACATCAAATCATTAATGTATGCGTCTTTGGACTGATTGATTGGTGAATGCGGAGGGCCAGGCAACACACAATTAATGTATATGGTCCTTTTATGTTAATGCATTTTATCTTACAAAAGTAATTTACCTATAGTGCCATCCATGCAAGATTTACGCTCCGGTTTTTCATTAACCGATTGCACATCTTAATATATAAAGGCATTATCAGAAACATTAATTTTCTCGTACATTACTGTACATGCAGAGGTGACAAAAATGTGTGTAGTATTATCGTTAATCAATCTGTAATATTCAAGTGTCAATTGTCAGTAATTACACAATGACTCTATGGAGGAACTGGGTCCCCAATTGCAAGTATGTATGAATAATTGCTATTTACATGTATGCATGTTGAACTTATTTCACACCATATGTAGCCAACCGTGCTAATCAGAGGTGCAGGGGGAAAGTCAACAAACTAAACACAAAAGGAATTTATAAAGAAATTCGCTTTCAATGTAGAAATAAAATCTACTGTCAGATGAAGGCTTCCCCATGCCTGTG